CCTCTCCTCTATTCTTGCAATATTCCGGAAGACATTGAAAGCATCTATTCTCTTATGAAATATTTGAAAGCAAAGTTTGAGTTTTATTTTTTTTATATTTAAGCAAAATATATGTTAGAATCAGTGGAAAAATGAAGCATATATATGGGTTACCTCTGCTCTTCTTTTGCTTGAAACATATGAAGACATGGCTAGAGTAGTCTAGAAATACATTTTTTTTATTCCTTTATAAATGTTTATGGAAAAGACATGTTTGGGGCTCATTTCATGCTTCTCTTACTGCCCCTTACTAGAGTATATGCTGGAAATTGTTTTATGTCTATGGAAAATATATGTTTGGGGCTCATTTCATGCTTCTCTTGCTGCCCCTTGCTAGAGTATATGCTGGAAATTGTTTTATGAGTTGGAAGAGAAATGTTTGGGGCTCATTTCATGTTTCTCTTGCTGCCCCTTGTTCGAATGCTTGTTGGGATGAAATTACCGAAACTTTTATTGTTGATATTCATGCTTACAATAAATGCTGGAAAAATATGTTCTCCTTTGGCCCATTTGGTGGTCTCGGTCTTGGCTTTTTCTTTGGGATTGAATTGAAAACATGCTTCCTGTTTTGCCCCATGTATTGGACTCGGTTTGCCCTTTTCTTGGGCTCGGTTGTGGCTTTATGGAATCAGATTTTTATGGCCCTGTTTTAGCTCATTTAGTGGGGTTGAATTTAGCTTCTTTTGGATTAAATGTTGGCTGAAAACGCTTTCACTTGTTTTGCCTCTTTATTGAGCTCGGGCTAGCCTCTATGCTGCTTGGTTTTGCTCCTGTGCTGCCCCTGTGCTGAGCTCAGGTTAGCCTCTATGCTGCTTGGTTTTGCCCCTTTTGCTGGGCTCGGTTTTAGCTTTCTTCTAGGCTGAATTTAGTTGAAAGTTTTATATTAATTTTTAGCCCATTTGGTGGGCTTGGTTTGAGCTCTTTTCGAAATCAAATTTATGCTTGAACTGCTTCTCTGTTTTGCTCCCTCTGGCTGGATTCGGTTTTGCCCCTTGTGCTGGGCTCAGCTGTTCGCTTTTCTTGGGCTCGGTTTGGGCTCCTTTCAGTGATTTATGTTAGCTGAAATCCTTTACTATTTGGATCATTTCTTAGATTTGATTTGTCCCTTGTGTTGGGTTTGGGTTGCCCTTTTCTTGGGCTCGATTTGGGTTCTTCTCTGGTCTTAAGAATGAGAATTTCCGATTTAATTATCTTCAGAAATGATTCATGGTCTTAAGAAAAATATGAGGGAAAAAGAAAGGGAGAGAAGATTAAAAATGAAATTCGGTTCTTTGAGATGTTAAAATCTAAGGAGGAGATATGATAACAAACCATTCACCGTTCCGTTTACATAAGAAAAATGAAATCGTAAATTAGAAGAATATTTGAGGGTTGAGGTCTCGCTCTTGGCCCTTATCCGTGGGTTTATACTGCCTTTGGGTTTCTCTTTTTGGCCCTTACCCGTGAGTCTATGATGCCTTTGGGTCTCTCTTTTTGGCCCTTACCCGTGGGTCTATGCTGCCTTTGGGTCTCTCCTCTTCTTGTTGCCTTACCCATGAGTTCTCTCTTTTGGCTCATACCCGTGAGCTGGACTTGGAGCTTGGTTGTGATTTCTATTGCCTTACCCGTAATCTTCAACTTGTGACCCCTTAGTGGAATAAATTGGGCGGGTGGTTGTCTCTTTCTATTGCCTTGGTCATGGATATTTACAAAAATAGTTTCATTTTAGGGAGATGTAAAAGAAAAGGGAAAAAGAGCTTGTGATTAAAGTTGGAATTGGTATTGGCATAGCTTTTTGGAGATAAAAAAAAAAGAGAAGAGCTATTCTTTATGGATTAGTCTTTCTTGTTTTATGACATATGAAGATTTCTTGAAAGTTTATTTTAATAAATTATGAATTTGACATAAATTGAATTCATGTGGGGTTTGAAAATTCATAAGATTGACATTTGGAAAGGATACTCTCTCGGGATAATCCATTTATGAAATGAGAGAATATGAAACCCTTCTTGGATTGATTCAAGGATCTAGAGACCTTATTTAGTAAGGTTTAAGCTACAGTTTGAGGCTTTTAAATCTCTGTTTGAGATTGATTCATTTTTTTTAACAAGTTTTAAACGCTTTTAGGCCGATGCACTGACAATTTCACTCTAGGCTTTACTGATTTAACTTTGTTTTAAAAGTAGATCGGCCTCTTTTTTTCGTTTGTTTTGTTTTTTTTTTAACGGTCAAGTTAAAAATGAGAATTTTTGGTTTAATTATCTTCAGAAATAATTCATGGTTTTAAGAAAAGTGTGAGGGAAAAAGAAAGGGAGAGAAGATTAAAATTGAAATTCGGTTCTTTGAGATGATAAAATCTAAGGAGGAAATAATATAGTAAATCATTCATCATTCATTTTACATAAGAAAGATGAAATTGTAAATTGGAAGATAGTTGAGGGTTGGAAGAAAGTGAGAGTTTAGATAACAATTAGGGACATGGATTAAGAGATCAGTAGACCTGCACTTAGGTCCCTTAAGCTTTGAATAAACTTAAATCCAATTGCTCTAACTAGGATTGAAGCACACTTCACAACCCTTTTGCCAAAACTATAGGTTCACCCCTTATATTTTAGGAGTCTGATGGTGAGCTAAGCTTAATCTAAAGATGTTTGAGGGTTAGTTGAAAGGACACTTAATTGAGGTTAGACACTTTAGAACACTTCAGGCCCAAACTAAAGTGTAGGCTTCCTAGGTCTTAGGAGCATACCTTGAGAGAGAATTCATCATTCTAATGTTCAAATGATCCTAAGAAGCCAGACATCTGACCCTAGTTTATACGGACACTAGACATGAGGGTGCACTAGATTGTGGTTCATAACTGATTTAATTAAATCAAATAATGAAATTCTTGCCTTAAATTGACCAAAACTGAAACCCAATGCTCCGGGATTTGAGCTTGCAGTTTGTCTTACACTTAGATCCTCCTAGCGATTGGGGACATCCCCAATATCACATATAAATTTCTTATTCTTGGTTCTTTATATGTGATATTATATTTTGTTTTATTTGTTTGTCTTTTTCCTATGATTTACCTGTTTTTCTCAAGTCTTTTTCAGGTCATACTTTCTCCTTTTACACAGCGCATAATAGCTAAACTTAAAGAAGCAACGAACCTCCCAGGTGTACAGGTTTAATTTACATTACAATATTTTATTTCACAGCATGTTATATTGTTCTCATAGTCTGTTATACTATTTTCTCAGTATGTTATAGTGCATTTTCTTAGCACGTTATACTATTCTTTCAACATGCTATACTGTTCTTTTCTTTTTATTGTACACTATATTGTTCTTTTCTTTTATATTGCATGTTTAGTTATTTTGATACACACTATGCCTTAGTTTAGGAAAACCTAGTGATTAGGTGTATTTTCAAAACTAAAACTAAACCAGGAGGTGCTACTACGACGAGCTTGGAGCGAACATCATGCGCAACACGACGAGGAACAACCTCAAGGTGGATCTGCAACAGCAAAACATCAAAACACATCACATAAACATCTTCACATCACCTATCACTTCATTTAGTTTAAATAACAACCCATAGAATCACCCTTTAGGCTTTTTGCACAACTCTGTTGTCCAAATATAAGTCTAACACTTTATGATTCCGAGGTTACCGTGCGGTACGATGTAAATCCTCCTATCTTCTTAGACTATTTGTATAGTCCGATATTGTGTAAACATAAGTCCTAAATCATAAACAATTTGTAGGATTGAAATATCAAATTAAATCATTTCAAAGACATAAAGTCAAACAATAGGATAGTTGGGAGTTCATCGGGGTTTCCCCGAATCTGTGATATCCCCTACTTTTCTGTCCTTTGGATTCCTTAAATAATTGTTTCTATTTTGAGTCATTCTCATTTGATTTCCCCATGTCCAATCGTAAAAACCTAAACTTTGAAATCTTAAAGGCAAAAGCACCTGATCTTAATCGAGAGTTTTCTTAAGTGACCCTCAGTCATTTAAGATGTAATTAACTATAAGAGTGTCTCTATAGGGAACCTGAAACTTAGATAAAATAAACCTTATCTAATTTTTTATGTTAGGTAGGGGAACTTGTTGGTCTTTTTATAAAATATTTCGCAGACCAAAACGGATGTCACAAATTCTTTATTTTAGGTGATTGAATTCTTATTACAAGTGATATATTTATTTTTCGGGATATGTGTATTACTTGTAGTATTGTATTCAATCATCTAAACTATTTAAAATGTGAGACTCGTTTGGTCTCACCTATTTTAAAATTAAAATGTTACTTTTAAAAATAAAAAAGGGTTATATTCATATTTAAATTATTTTTAAAAATCAGAAAATCGTCACTTTTTCAAATCACGAAGTTAAAAGGGCCGACAGTTTTGTGGTTTGAAAAAAAAAACGGACGAGCTACCACAATAAAAGCTACTTTTGCTAGGATATGCAGTTTTTGCCCCTAATTCCAGTCATTGAAGTTTTGTTTGGTGATTGGTTCTGTAAGATGTTTGGCCAACTCTATTGCTTTAAACTCAAGCTTTGGATGACCTTTGCATTATTTAAACTTTTTAGCTCCAAATTATTATATACTTAGAAATGAACATCAAGCATATTATTTAAGTATTTTTCTGCTTATCAACCAAAATTTGCTATTAGTAAACAAAATTTAACATAGCAAAATTTCTCCCAAAATCAAAAAATAAAATAAAATAAAATAAAATAAAATCTGTTCTCATACAAAATTTGATATTTCTCTCGACGCTAGCATACAAATAATATTTCCAGAAGAATTATGATGACTTAGCGTAGATGGAATAAGTATTCATGTTTGCTCCTTTACGGGAGCATTTGCCTAATATTTTCAACACTTATGTTCTGGGGAAAGGATTGCAGTTCTTTTTTTTTTTCAATGAAGACAATGATTTTGTTTGATAAAACATGCACGTAAAAATCATATTTGTCCAGGAGAAAAATTTTACTGGGACGGCAAGTTATATGGAACTGATGGGCTTGTCACCTTATTGGTGTGATGCTTCACAAGGCAATGCTATACAAAATAATGTGAAAATGAAATCAATTTTCCTTTTGACGGGGCCAAATGGTGGCGGCAAATCCAGTTTGCTTCGGTCAGTATGTGCTGCTACATTGCTTGGGATTTGTGGGCTCATGGTACCAGCACTATCGGCTATCATTCCTCATTTTGATGCAGTTATGCTACATATGAAACCTTACGATAGTCCTGCTGATGGAAAAAGCTCATTTCAGGTACTCAATGATTGAGAGTATACTCTTTGTGATAATCTATTATTTTATTTTATATGTTAATATTTCTTGTTATTTTTCATGTTTACTGCTTTAAGAAAAGCAGAAAAACTGAGTTATCTCTCTTTAAAATTAAATACAGCAAGGCTGCTAAATTATTGTTGTTGGAATGCTTCAGCACCACACGATTACAAAAAGGGAAATAACCACTCTTCATTGCAGAAGGCTGTATAGATTGAGACCTTACTATTCCCTTTTTCATTAAATATCAAATTATTTTCCCTACCATGTTTATTTTTGTTCTCCTTTTTCCTGTAGATTCAACCTCTTTCTGCAACATGTTTGTGTATGAATTCTATAGGTTATCTTCTTTCTACTTGCTAAATGTAGTTCAAGTTTTCTAATTAAAAGAAGCAACGTCTGGCTCAACTAGTAGACGGACTACCGAGTGCTTTGAGAAATGAACAGCTGGATTTTCCCAATGAATATAGCTAGGATTTGTTGAATTAATGTAGTCAAAGCCAAGGAATTATATGCTAATTGTAGTAATTGGTGGTTCTTGCGCAGCATTGAAATAGGGCGACCATTTTAGCATACACTGGGAAATCACTAATTCAGTAATTCCATCGCTAAAAGAGTCTGGTGTAGTCAAATTCTGAGGATAATTTAATCATGATATGATGGAAGCCTATTGGCTCAAGAGAATTGGTGCCAACCAACTATAAATTAGAAAACAAAAGTTGTTGATGATTTTCATGTTGGGATAACTCTGGGAGAATATGTCAATGATAGAGAAGTAAAGAGGTTTTGCTTGCTCAATAATCTCATTTGAGAAGATAAGTGCAGGTTTGCTTTGATATGTGGAAGGAAAATTATGAAATTGACTTGGGGCTAGGGCCAACCAGCTTAATCGGCTAGCAGAGGGACTAGGCAAACCTGGTCTAAGGAGGCCGTTCTCGATTCTTACGGAACTGTGCTGGAGCTGCCTTTTAATGGGGCGGCAATGCCACCAACCCCTTCTTATCTTCCTTTTCTATCGTATCTCTTTTCCTTTCCTGTTTCGATCTGATGGGAGTCTGTTTATATGCTTGTTACTGGAATTAGGGTTATGTGTTATGATTTATTTCTGATTTCTGCAAAAGTTCTTGTTTTTCCTTTCGAGGGTTGTATTCAAAGACTGGCGGTGCTCCGGCTATATCCTGCTCCGAGGTGGTGATATATCCGCTCCTATCTTCCTCTCTACCACTTTGCCTTCACCTTCCAACGCAACTTCTTTTGACCCATTGTCATTGTCCTTTTGCAAATATTCTTGGCTATACTGATAGTCATTTGACTATTAGAAAATATCTTAATAGGTCTATTGGATGTACATCACAGTTCTCTTAACAATTTTTAAATCCAGATTCCTTCACAGATTCTCAAGGTGAGTGACTTAAACTCTGATTTTGCACTGTTTCTAGAAACAACTCTTTGCTTTTTATTTCTTTATATCACCCAATTTTCTTATACACAGGAGCATTAGTCTGTGATAGATCTTTTGTCACTGAGTTCCTTAGCCCAACTAGCATCAGCGTAAACTTTCACATCTTTGTTTCTAGTTTTCTCAAAAATTAATCCAAAACCAAGAGCCCTCTTAAGAAACTTTAAAATTTTGTACGCTATCTATAAATGCTCTTCATTTGGGTTATTAATGTGCTAGTTTGCAATAATAACATAGTATGACAAATATTTGGCCTTGTAAGTCACAAGTAGATGAGTTTTCCTACTAATTTTTTATATATTCGCTTATCCATAGAAACGTTTTTTTTTCCCTTTTGGACTTCTGGTTGGGATCCATTAGATTTTTGGTTGGCTTCCTTTTAATCATTTGTCTCCTTTAGTAAATCTAAGCTGTATTTTTTCTATAATGTAATGAAGCTTTTCTTGGATCTTGCTATGTCCGTACCTAGAAAATATCTCATGATTTCTAGGTCCTTGATTTTAAACACCGTGGCAAGCACTTTTTTTATCTTGAGAATCTCTCTTTCATCATCACTTGTCAGAATCATATCATCATATCAATATAGCAAACTTATCTTTCTGAATATGATTTACAACGTATGATTAGCTTGACTTTGAGAATACCCATTGCATCTCATAGTTTTAGCAAATCTTTCAAACAACACGCTTGGTGATTGCTTAAGCCTATAGAGAAATTTCCTGAGTTTACATACCACGTGTTTGTTGGAATTATTCTCAAGTTCTAGTGTTATCTCCATATACACTTCTTTTTTTTAATTCTTGAAAGTCTTTTTATGTCAAGTTGATCCAATCTCAGTTCTTTGTTAATTGCTACTGAAGGGTGAACTCTGATAGTGTTAAGTTTGCCAACTTGTACGAAAGTTTCCTTATAGTCAATTCCATAGGATTGAATGAAACCTTAGTTTTGAATATCTCAATACTTCCACTAGCTTTGTATTTGATGTTGAACAACTATTTACATCCAAATAGCTTCTTATTCCGAGATATTTTAGTAACAATCGATGTACAACATTATGCTTTAATGCTTGAATCTCTTTTTCAACTATTTTCCTCCATTATGGATTTTCAAGAGCTTCGTGAATAGCTTTTAGAATTTGCATACTATGATGGTTAGAAACAAAAGTTTAATGAGGATATGTTCCCATTAGTTGTATACTCTTGAGTTGAATATCTAATGCAGTTTTTCTTGTCACCATCATTATATGAGGAAGGGAAAAACTAATGTGTACTAGTCTCTTTATTTAAAATTTCAAGTGGATGTGGACTCGTGTTTTGGTTTGATCAGTTCTTTCATTCCAGGTTGTCTTCCACTTAAGATTTTTCTTGCTTCTTGTGTACACTTGAATTTCTTTGTTCTGGACTTCAGGTTGAGTTGGTTAAGCATGCGTAACCCTGATAGAAGGGCTACGTGAAGAGGTGGTGAGGCTTTTTATGTGTCATCAAGTGCATCCCAAAATTAATATTCATTTTTACTCTCTTTGAACAATAGATAATGGGTAGTATGATTTATTTTAAAAAAATGTGACATTCTTGTAGTTGTAGTGTTTAATGGTAATAGGAGAGTATCACTTATACCTCGTTTTCTAGGGTGGTATATACAAGAAAAATTCCCTGGATAAGACTTTACAAATGGACGTGAACAAAGGATACACACCCAATTATTTAAGTAGTGTAGTAGAAGAGAACTGTAATGTGAGACATGTAATCATGAAAAAATAAAAATTTGTTTTGAAGTTAAATATTTGGCTAGGCATGTGATTGATAAGATATGTTGCAGTAAGAACTGTTTCTCCCTAAAAATGTTTTGAAACTTGATGAGACATCAAAATTCAACGAGATAGCTTAAGAAAATACATGTTCTTTCTCTCAGTTATCATATTTTGTTGCAGGGTGTTAATATATGAAATTGCATATATGATTTCATTTTTTGAAAAGTAGAATCCAACGATGAAATTGAAATATTCTTTTGCATAATCAGTTTTGATGATTTGAGTTTTTCATTGAAATTGAGTTTGAATCATGTCATGGAAGGTTTGAAAGATTTGATTTATTTTAGATTTTTCTGCATTAGAAATATCTAAGTGGTTCTAGTGTGATCACCAAAAAATGTGACAAGCCATATGGCCCCACTTAGCATTTTCACCTTTGAAAATCCACAAATATCACTATGGATAATGACAAAAGTGTGAAGGTATGTTTTGGGTCAAAGGGTAACTATTTCTAGTATGTTTGGTAAGTTAATAAATCTCACATTGATAAAAGTTAAGTTTTTTATTGATAAATAAATAAGAATATAATATATAGTAATTGAAATCATGATGACCTTGGCGACAATGTCATAACAATGCCTGATTTTCGATAGAAATGGACTTAATAGACTGATAAACTTGAGATAAATATGGAGATGGGATAATTTTATGTGTTTAAAGAAACACTTTCCTTGAGCACATATAAATTTTGATGCATTTCAGCACTGTCAATCACCTCTCTTGACTCGACCATCTAAAATTCATAAGAGTTTACCAGAAATTTAGTTATATATTTCATATTATGAGTGAGCTTACTGATTGAAATCAAATTGCAAATGAACTATGAAACATGTAAAATATAGGAAAGAATGATAACCTGAGAGAGCTACACTTCTTTCCCAACAATGTTTTAGTGTGATCAGTCTCAAAGTCTTATCGATCTAGATGTAAAAGCCACTTGATATTTGATTAGAGCATTGATGTCTCTTATCATATGATCAGAGACTCTTGAATCTATGATCTACATTTTAAATCTTCAATTACTGGCAAGATGGGAGAATGATATATTTGGTTTGTCACAAGGTTGGTGTGTTGCTCTAAATTAACTCCAAGGAGTTTCTTTAGTACTTTAAGCTACTCCTTGGTAAATGTTTCAACCGATCGTTTGTTAAGTTGCTCTAACGTGTACAGGGCCGAGTTTTTGGTGCTTGGTAAACTCCCATTTTTAATCAGCATCAACTTCTTTTTGCTTTCTTCTCTCCTCACTTCAACAAAAGCTTCACAGGTAGATGAAAGGGCCTTTGTTCTCATCATCTTGCCTCTCACCTCATCCAATTACTGAGTTAGTGCTACTAGAAATTTTATGGTTCACTTATTCTCAATAATGAATTTAAACATCACAACATCATGTATACATTTTCAGATGTGTCTCAAACATATCAAATTGCAACTAATACTTCGTGAAGGTGTTGAAGTATTGGGACACTTAGCTCTCATGTTGAAGTTTATAAAGCTTGGTTTCGATCTCAAACAATTTTGCAGTGTTTTCAGTGTTTCAATATGTTTCTATTGCAACCTCTCAGATTTCTTTTGCAGTTTTGTAGAGCAAAAAACTTTCTTCCACTTGAGTGATCAGTAAGTTGACTAGCCAAGGCATAACCATATAATCTCGATTCTTCCATGTGAGGTGATTAGGGTGAATTATGTCTTCTCCCATGAGATGTTCCCCTTTCT